GCAGTTCTGACAAAGAATGGGGGTGGGGATGGGATTAAAAATTAAGACCCACTACATCAAATCAGGTAAATTAAATTTAAAAGGAAAAGACTGCAAATTAAGTAAACCTTCAACTGATGTACACACAAGTCTAATTTCATCTTTCCTTCAGGCTGCCCAATAGAAATATTTAGCATGATTTAACAACTGTACTCTCCTCTAAGTTAACAATAGAACAAGACACACTTAAAACCACTAGAGAAAGGCTTGATCCATTCCAAAACACTAGCTCTCCCACCAGGAAGGGGAGGGGGGTATGGGAAATGAACCAGCATGGGTTAAGACTACAAACTTTTCCTATGTACTGCTTCTTCTTCAAGAGCTCACACAGTGAGATGCTGGGTGCCAACCTATTTCCACAACTTCATACCATATTAAAACCTGGATCTCTGCAGATATTCACCCAGGGACAAAGTCACCATCTGACATGGATTCCACAAAGGTTCCTCCATCCTGTGGTGGCATTGCAGGATCAGGCCCCAAGTGAGATAACTTCTTTGGGAAATGACTTGCAATGATTGTTTTGAATATAAAGTGAGCATACATGCACACGCGACACATACATAAGAAAAACAAAACTAAAAAGCCTATCCCTTTCATTATCATTAAGGCAAATTAATTTTCTGGCTTTGCAAACTAACCAGAAAAGTCCATTCAAGGTGAGCAGCACAAGATGACCAGCTTCTAAATGATTTGCTGAACGATTGTCCCAAAAGTCACATGAGAAATCTTGAAAATGGAATGGTCCAGGATTCAGATGCAAGGTTGGAAACTGAAGTAAAAGCCAGTAACTTCAAGGAAAACAGAGAAAGGTGATTCATAAGCAGCAGGAGAGTGGACACAAAAATCCCTCTAACTCAGTGGTTTCCAACCAGTGTGCCGTGGTATCCTGGAGTGCCTTGAATGATGGTCAGTGGTGCCGTGGGCAAAAGTGGCCTCTGTCTCTCTTTCCTTCCCTCTGATGCCCTCTCACATCTCTGCCTCCCAAAGGTTTGTGTGGCTGTTTGTTGCAGCAGCCCTGGCTACAAGCTCCCCAGGCAAATGGTGCCTCTGGGGCTGGCCATGGCGTGCTGGTTGCCAGGAGCTGAGGTGGCCTTGGAGTAAGCAAGCAAATGGGCAAGTGAGCTCAGCTAGCCAGTCCACCAGCCCCTGCTGTTGCAAATAGGCAAACAAGTTGGAAGCCAGGCAGGCAGGCAGCCAGGCGCTGTGCTGGCCTTTCTTGCACTTACTGTGTGCAAGGCCTGCTGGGAGCTGAGTGCCCAGTGGAAGCCAGGCAGGCAGGCAGCCAGGCGCTGTGCTGGCCTTTCTTGCACTTACTGTGTGCAAGGCCTGCCTGGGAGCTGAGTGCCCAGTGCTAAAGCAGAGTCTTTCCACCCTGCAGGCCCAGCAGCACCCACTGCTCTCAGAGTAAGGTGCTGGTCTCACGTTCACCTTTGGCCAGTTTCCACTGGGCCACTAAGCCTGGGGGCACCCTCTTCCTGTGGGGCAGTGTGATGAGGCACCTCTCTTTGGGGCAGGGGGAGAGTTCAGAGACTAGGGGCAGCGGCAGCAGCTGCCCAGAGGACTCCCAAGGAGAGGAGGCTGAGGGAACACGCCACAAGGGAGGGCATTTGAAAAAAAGGGTGAGAGGCTGCCAGCTCTGCAGGCAAAGGGTGACATAACTGGACTCCTGAGCCCTACAGGGGTGCCACAGAAAGAATGTAGTTGGCCTAGGGAGCTGTGGATTCAAAAGGTTGAAAACCTCTGCTCTAGCTCTTAGGATGAAATGAAGATGGTTCATAAGCAATATACTTCACCCTGTTACAACATCACCAGCAACCACTATTTTTTCATAATCCTTGATCCAGACAGTTCATGATCCTTGTTTCTACTGTACAATTTTCAACAAGGAAGCAGAATGTAGTTCTGTTGCAAACCGATTCATCTGTATTGCCAGAGCAAACAAAACTGGCATCAAATGCAGTTTCTGAAAACCAAGATATCAGAACACCAGAATCTCTCAAGTGTTGTTCAAGTCAATTTCCTAATTAACGCTTTTCAGGAGTTTGGAGTTTTCCAGGTTTTTATGGGTCTGCATAGTGTTACAACTGTAGAAACACATTTACACATAAAGTCAAGAGTTTTTAAACAGAATGTATACAAGACTTAAAGGATTCTCTAGATAACTGTGATAATTGTACCAACCTTTGAGGACAAATCCCAGTCATTTGAAATATACAGGCAAAAGGTTCTCCAACATCTTTGGCAGTTATAAGATGCTTAAAATGAAGTCCCCACATCTCTGTTACTATGAAAACACCGGGGGCGTGTTCTAAGCCAGACCAACCTGTTGCCTTCCAAATGTTGGACCCAAACACCCATTGGCGTCAGCAGAATGGACAATGATCAGGAATGATGAGAGTTGTAGTCAAACATCTGGAAAGGCACAGGTTCCTCACCCCTGTACTAAACAACTGGTGAGGCCATATTTGCGAACTTAGTGCTACATGCATAAGCTAGAATGAGCCCTGGCAATGCCGTGGATGCCCTCTCTTCCCTTGTGGCCAAAAGGACATTCCTTGCATCTCAACTGGTCCTGTTTTCCAAAGCACTGGTTTATCACAAACTCTGGTGAATTTCAAGATAAGCCAGATTCAAGGTATGCATTATGAAGGTGGGTTGTTTATCCAGGATTTGAGAGAAATCAGGGTCCCTGGTCCAGATCAGAAGAAAGGCTGAGATTCAGGGAAAGTGAAGCTAAACATTGCCCAAGACAAAGGAGAGACGAAGGAAAAGAAGGCCAAGGATGCACTGAAATTGATTCAGCTCATGCATGTAATGCTAAACCATGGTTTGCTACCAGGTATGAACAAGTTCTATAAATAAAAAAAGCTTTTGAGTATCTACACATACTGCTTTTTTAAAAAAATCAAAATGTCTTTGCACAAAGGTTGTAAAGTATTGTGGCATTTCACAAAGTCTTCGATTTTACATGCAATCCACCACATTGCTGGATCCTTGACCCACGTCACGGATCTGGCTGCCAAGGCAGGCACACACGGCTACACCAGCCCCAGCTCTGCAGTGAGACACGGAACCAACAAGCTCCCACCTGAGAAAGAATGAAAGAGGAAAAATTAAATACAAGGGGAGTTAGCAATGCAACTGTCCTTGGCACGTCAAATATCTTAAAGTGAAAAAAGCTTAGCTACATCTTTCCTACACAGCTTAGCGTGACAAAAGCTCTTATACAGTGCTAATTTTGAAAATTGCTTCTATTTTATTTTGTAACTATTTATGGGTTCTACCACCACCCATGAAGGAAACTTTGCTGAAGAACTAAATGCTGGTCCATTTGCATTTAAATAGCAAGACTAGGCAGAGGAGAGGGTTTAGCTTCCCATGCACAAAGACAGCAATAGTTCAAGGCCAAATATAATTTTAAAACAATATTTTTATAATTGCTTATATCTGTCTAAGAACAATGAATGAGTTCTAGGGTACTTTTTTCCTACCATCTCTACTTTGTCAAAATTCCTGCTTTTCGGCTTCCTAGACTCATCCATTACAACAGGTCTGTCCAAAAAACCACAACCCTTTTCACTTGTACATTTGCCAATCCCCTAGAATGAATACCAAGTCTAATAACTGCTTGGTGGCAGCTGCAATAGAGAAAGTGAGACTTTAACATCAACTACACAGTTTCCTACTTTTCATAGAATCATGGAATTGCAGCATTGGAAGGGACATCTAGTCCCACCCACTGCCATCCAGGAATCTCAACTAAAGCATGACAGATGGCCATCCAAACTTTGCTTTAAAATCTCCAAGGAAGAAGAGTCCACCACCTCTTGTGGGATTTTCACCCCCTGCTGAACAGCTCTTACTGTCAGAAAGTTTGTCCTGATGTTGGGTTGGAATCTCCTTTCTTGTACAGTGGTACCTCAGGTTAAGTACTTAATTCATTCCGGAGGTCCGTTATTAACCTGAAACTGTTCTTAACCTGAGGTACCACTTTAGCTAATGGGGTCTCCTGCTGCTGCTGCTGCCGCTGCGCGATTTCTGTTCTCATCCTGAAGCAAAGTTCTTAACCCGAGGTACTATTTCTGGGTTAGCAGAGTCTGTAACCTGAAGCATATGTAACCTGAGGTACCACTGTAACTTGAATCCATTGGTTCACGTCTCATCCAGCATAAAGACCAAGCTCTGTAAAAGCAAGAATCAAAGTTACCTGTTCACCACAGGATCAAAGGCTTCCACTGTATTCAGGTAAGCATTTCCATTATGCCCTCCAACAGCAAAGATTTTGCCCATTAACGTTGCTATGCCAACTCCACCCCGAGGCGTTGTAAGCTCCGCTACGTATTCCCACTTGTTGCTGCGAGGGTCAAATCGTTCAACAGAGCTCAGCGGAGAATTGTCATCAAAGCCACCTGCATCAAGGCATATACACACAAGTGAAGCATGAAATCTTCTCTCAGACTATGCAGTAGTTTTATCACAAGCTGTTCTGTGGAGCAAAGCTACAGGATGCATAGTGACCCAGTTATTCAAACAGTACCAAAAAATACAATGGATCTGCTATTTGACCTAAAAGCCCACAATTCTTATAAAGCTAAAACCTAGTCCATTGTTAGCATGATCTGTAAGCAAGTGTACCTCAATGTTAGTAAGAAGAGGAGTCCGAGGTTTATGCCCAGTAGTGCACTGTTGCCTTGAAAAAAGATAGCTTATTTATCACTTTATCGCAAAATACAGTATTGTCCACAGCCAGCAACGAAAATACTTAAAATCCAGTGTAATCATTTGATGATGTTGTTTCAAACACTTACAGCAAAGCTACAAGAAGATGAGTTATGCACATGGATAAACGTCTAGGTGCTACTCACCTACCACATATAGGCAGCCATGGAGTTCACTAACCCCATTGCCAGCTCTTCGCTGACCCATTTCTTTCACTTCTATCCATTTATCTAGATGAGGATCATACTTCTCCACGCTGGAGAGAGAAGCGACACCATCATTTCCACCAACAGCATATACATGGTTCTGAAAAGAGGAAAGATCAAATGAATGTTCTATCCAACAGCCAGGCCCAAGGGTGAATTAGGTGCGTTACTGCAGCAAAAATTAAGATGTGTCCCTTCTGCTCTCACAATGTATAAAGAAACAGTTGTCAACCAGCTTGCTAGGCAGCAGCAGTCTATCCCCAAGGATAAAATTTTGAGCACCATATAATCATTGCCAACACAACAGCGAGCTTTCGATCCAATTTACTAGATGAGTTTTCAGGTTTCAACATTATCGTCTGTGGATATTACTTATTTTATACTTGCCAAAGTTATACTGTACTTATATGAATCCACATTCATTATTTAATTCTATTTAGTAAATATAGTCTTTTTATCAATTACCCCTCCAAAAAACCCGAAAAATCCTCTGGGCAATATGCAAAAACAATAAAATGAATTAAAACAGCAAGATCCACATTAACAACATTCTATATAACAAGACTTAGCACAAAAAAAACAACCCCTGCAATCAGGTAAATACTGCAATGAACAACACTTAATAACAAGACTTTGGTTGTAAGTTGCTTTGGGTTGGCTTCGGCAAGATAAGCAACTAAAAAATCTAATTAATAATAATATATATATAAAAAACATGACAAAGTTCCACAGAGTTAAATAACTATTTTAAGACACAGAATAATAACAGAAATTAAAAATAGTTTATTGTTTTTTATGACACCAAGCAAAGACTTTCCACTTTCACCGAAGAGTTCTATTTTAACTCTGCAACGTCTTCAGTTCTGTTTTTAATTAAATTATATTCCTTCCGTATTTCATTTCCCACCTTTTATTCAATCTCTTATTTCATTGCCTCTTATCACGACTTCAAGAGTGGCACCTTAAACCAATGTAGTGAAGAACAGTCAAGAAAGTTTGATATGGAACTGGCGGAAATGACTGGCAGAATCCGAGACCAGGGAGAAGAGTTGGTGGAAGAAGATTGGAAAAAGTTTAAAGACTATCTATCTATCTAAAATTAATGAATGTTAGAAGAATGTTGGAATGAAGTTATATGGCTTTAGTAGAAAGGTTATAAGGAATTAAGTATAAATAGATTAATAGAACATTAAAGGAAAAAATAAGGTTAGTTTGTGTTAACATAATTATAGGATAGAAAACAGGGGAAGATGGAAAGGAATTGCTGAAATAATTAATAGAAGTGGAATACAAAAAGGGAGGTGTGAGGAGGTCGTTGAAATATGTGAAAGAAAGAGAAGATATTGATTTTTTTTATTTTTTGATGTGTTTTTAAATTGTTTTTGTTTTGTCTTGTTAGTTTAATGTTTTAGTGTTATGTAGTGTTTTTGTATTGTAATGTATTGTTTTTTCTTTGGTTTTTGTGTGTTTAAATTGTTGTAAAAGTAATAAATATTATTAAAAAAAAAAGAACAGTCAAGAAAGTTTGACCTCCATATAACCTTAAAGTATTTTAATACACTTGCAATACACTTGCAAGGCAGAGCTATATGACATTTCTGTGCCGATGCCCTTTGAATGCCAATAAAAAACCCAGAGTCGCTTACCACAAGAGCCACAGAGCCAACACCTCCCCGGGGTGTATTCATAGGTGCTACAGCACTCCACTGATCAGATTCAATGTCGTATCTCTCCACATCGCTGAAGCAAGTGTTATCATCCAGTCCCCCAATAGCATAAATGGGGCCTCCAAGAGAAGCCAGAGCAATCCCTCTCCTAATAAAATAACGCAATTAGTTATCAGACTACATAATCTTAAAACAAACTGGCAAAGTGAGTTACAAACTGGCAAAGTGAGTTACTAGGTATCATTAGCTCTACCTCACTTTGGCAACTTTTCAAGAATACCAAGGTTAATAAAACCCCAAGTGTAAACCACAAATGGAAGCTTCATTCCCAACTGAAGTATACTTAACCAAAGAGACCTTTAAAATGTTTCTTCAAGATATTGCAAATGAAAGAATTAACAGATTTTGGACTCTAGAACATTTGCAGGTTTGTAATTCTGTCAACTTGCTTTATTTTTTTTCCAACCACACTAATCACCAGATAATAATATTCAACGGCAACATGAAGGTTTAACAGATCAGTGAACTGCAAGTTTTGACCATGACATAAATTCTTTCTTGTTGTATGCTGGCAAGGGCCAATTTTCTATATACAAAAACCCCATTCATGCATTCAATCAACACATGAGGAATGAAGTGTGGCACATGCAGTACCACCAGCAGCTTCTCTGCCCTTTTCAGCTCTAGCTCTGATTTCTCACTTCAAGTAGAAAGGTCTGAATGAGTATTGTGTGCAGGTTGGAAGGTCCAATCCACTCAATGCTGGAAGATCAGGGGTGGAGATGGCATAGATGTCCTCATGCCTCCTCCAGACTTTGTTCCCCCATGTTTCTTTAAGGGCCTAAAATCAGTTTTAATTTCCCTTCTGATACCCAACGAACACAGTCTATCTTGTCATTATCAGTCTATTCCAAACTCTTAAAAGAATATAAAGAATCCTCTTATATTGGGGATTTCCAACAGCTTCACAAAACACTATTTACAATTACCTCAGCTAAAATAATTATGAGACAACTCTGACTCTTTTTCTAATTTGTCTTGTTCCTTCCCCACTTCTGTTTTTCACCTTATGTGTTCATCTCATATTTTTTATGTCCGCTGATCACCTTCTGTGTTGCATCTTACTTTGGACTGCAGCCATTGGCAATGACTAGGTACAGCCTATCTGATGTATACCTCAACAAATGGTAATGCATTCCACATGAATCTACTTCTTTAACAACAACAACAACAAAACGGAATGTCCATGCCAAGTTTACATACCTTTTGGTATTCATTGATGCTTTCATCATCCATTTATTTGTGAGAGGATCAAACATTTCCATGCTGCCCAGATGTTCGTTTCCATCATGTCCACCCACTGCATAAACTTTACCTGAAAACATATAAAATTTTCTGGTCAGACAAACTAGGCTAACTCCTAAAAGTATTTCCTGTGGCCATCTAGTATGATATCAAGAAGACAAGATGTGAAACAGCTGCTTCCCAGGTCTTAGTTCACACATAATCACTGTGCTGCCCTAGTGAAATTAGATTCACATTTTTTGCCACTCTATTATATATATTCCATTACTGCTAGAGCGTAATGTCTACAATAATTTTTTTCTGTAAAGAAATCAGCACCACATTATCTAAAGATCAGGGGAAAATAATAGTCTCAGCGACTTGATGATACTTTATAGGACTAGGATACAAAGGCAGCCTTAAAAGGCAGCAGTTTTAAATCTTTTCTAAGTTAAGATGCAGTGCTATTTACTAGTGCAGTAAATAGTTCCTAGTGTTGAATTCAGTGGTAGGTACTGTGGCTAGACTCAAGCTGTGAGTTGTATTTTTAGTACTAGAGAGGACATTTCATTGGGCAGAAACCCAGAACACAAAACCAGTTAACTGCAAAACAGAAACAATTGCATCTTTTTATCGCAAGAAGCCAACTACTATTCTCAGCTATTTTGTATACAAAGGCTGTAATTTTGGTTGATGGAATGGCTGAGTCATTAACTTCAACAAAGTATAAAGCAATTTTAGAGCACAGATTTCTTTTTACCAACCTCCCACAGAGATTACACCCACATGCCTCCTCCTACTGTTCATTTCAGGGCCAAAAAACCAGCTGTTCTTATTTATAGAGTAGCATTCAATGCTGCGAAATGGGTCGCCAGATCCACCACGACCACCAACACAGAAAAGGACACCTAACAGAAAACATACAACAAAAGTCACAAACACCTCATTTCTTAAGAACGTCAGTATTCATCACACAAAATTCACAGGGTGGCAAAGTACAGAATGCTGCACATAGCACACATTAAAAGTCCTGTTAAAACTAAATAGTAGAAACTGGTCTGTTTGGTTGGCTTAGTGTTATTTACTGTTTTGAATGTTCAACACTGACAATTTGTCATTCAACAGTAACAGTTCCACCCTGCTTCAACTTAGGATGAACTGGGTTGAGACTTCAACACAGACTGAGAGGGAAGTCAGAGCTGGAATAGACAAGTCACCCAATCAAGGCTTGTGGAAAGATCCGCAAAAGTTAATAACCCCTTAAAATGTTCACATGCATTTTTGACAGCCCAACATAAAGAGGACCAGCTTGCTTCAACTTGCAGGAGGCTATCTGCCTAAGGCAATTCTAACTCACCATGGACTTCCAGGCAAGTGGCTCCTTAACAAGCCTGATTTTAGTCCATTCACAATCCCAACATCCCTCTCCACTTTAAAGAGATACGTGTTTTTGGCCAACACCACCACAGGTAACGTTCAGCACACTGCTTCAAGATTCCTATAGAGCACATCACTTCAGATGACTCAAGTAAGCAACAAAAACTGGGCAAAACCCAGCTCCTTTAACCATGGGAGTTTTTGTTATCAATTGCAATGGAGGCAGATTGTATGTTATGTTGAAAACATACATATCTGAAGAAGTGTGCATGCACACCAAAGCTCATACCAGTAACAAACTTAGTTGGTCTCTAAGATGCTACTGGAAGGATTTTTTTTTAATGTTGAAAACTCTTCTCCATCATTCAAATGCATTAATGTATCCAAGGATTGTACATTGGGACTGTTAGGCTGTAATATATACTGTTCAATACAAGAAATTTACCTCATCAGTTGAGACAGTATTCCATAGTTTAGCATTCAAATCAGAGATTCATGCCGAGGCAATGCTATACCATTGTGAACCAACCTTTTGTGTAGATACAGATTCTCCCTCCCCTCACACAAAATGAATTTTAAAAGCTATACTCTAAGGCACTTAAATAAAATGACAAGGCTTACTAATGTTACGCTGTGTACAAATTCATTTATGTTGTCTTTTACTATTCTACCATGAGCACTTACACCTCTACAGAATAGACCTTTTGTGAGTTTCTAAAACACTGGTGCCTCAGAAACGAGTTACCTGCTGTGCGTTTCCTTGGTGTTGTCCGTACAGAATACTCAAAATCTGGCACGGTATGACTACTTAAGTGAAGGTGGTAGTTCCTTGCTTCATCCAGCAAGTCCCGACATTTTAGGTTCTGCTTGACAATTTCTTCTTTTGCCACTACTCCCATGAGAAAACAAATGGGTAACAGTGGTAGGCGCACCTAGGAGAATGGACATTATGGGTGGTCAGCTGAACCAAAAGTAACAGTTCTCAGCAATTACAAGGCAAGCCTCCAAAGACATCATGGAGAACATCATGATCCTAGAATCATAGAGTTGGAATAGACCACAAGGGCCATCGAGTCCAACCCCCTGCCAAGCAGGAAACACCATCAGAGCACTCCTGACATATGGTTGTCAAGCCTCTGCTTAAAGACCTCCAAAGAAGGAGACTCCACCACACTCCTTGGCAGCAAATTCCACTGTCGAACAGCTCTCACTGTCAGGAAGTTCTTCCTAATGTTTAGGTGGAATCTTCTTTCTTGTAGTTTGGATCCATTGCTCCGTGTCCGCTTCTCTGGAGCAGCAGAAAACAACCTTTCTCCCTCTTCTATATGACATCCTTTTATATATTTGAACATGGCTATCATATCACCCCTTAACCTCCTCTTCTGCAGGCTAAACATGCCCAGCTCCCTTAGCCGTTCCTCATAAGGCATCGTTTCCAGGCCTTTGACCATTTTGGTTGCCCTCCTCTGGACACGTTCCAGTTTGTCAGTGTCCTTCTTGAACTGTGGTGCCCAGAACTGGACACAGTACTCCAGGTGAGGTCTGACCAGAGCAGAATACAGTAGCACTATTACTTCCCTTGATCTAGATGCTATACTCCTATTGATGCAGCCCAGAATTGCATTGGCTTTTTTAGCTGCCGCGTCACACTGTTGGCTCATGTCAAGTTTGTGGTCAACCAAGACTCCTAGATCCTTTTCACATGTACTGCTCTCAAGCCAGGTGTCCCCCATCTTGTATTTGTGCCTCTCATTTTTTTTGCCCAAGTGCAATACTTTACATTTCTCCCTGTTAAAGTTCATGTTGTTTGTTTTGGCCCAGTTCTCTAATCTGTCAAGGTCGTTTTGAAGTGTGATCCTGTCCTCTGGGGTGTTAGCCACCCCTCCCAGTTTGGTGTCATCTGCAAATTTGATCAGGATTTGATCCTCTATTTGCCTTGTTCAGTGTGGTCATTCTGCATCTGTATGGCCTACAACTGAAGCCAGTATGTATGTCCTATGTCTTCACTAGGGAGAGAGAGATCCAGAAGATGAAAAAACAAGATTCCATTTAGTTGTAACAACAGTGACATTCCTCCATGTGTTATAGCTGCTGTGAACCCTGACACATCCTACTTACACACACATTGTGATTACTTGCTGCCTGCACTTTTGAACTATGACTAACATGCATTAAATATTTAATCTCTCCACAAATCAACGCTGCTCATGGATTCAGCTGCAAGTCATCAGATAATGTGTGGTGACAAGATGCAGATGTGTGTGACCTGGCTCTGAGATGGAAAGTAACCGAATTTGCTTTTGAGAAACCCGTAGTTTTCAGGGATTTAACAGAAGTGACCCCAACTTCAATTTGTCACAAAGAATGCGTAAGAGAAAAATTGTCTTAAGTGTCAATCTTTTTTGAGAACAAAAAAGTGATCCAGTTCCAATGTGGTGAACCAGTATAATCACTCCACAGATCACCCCACCTCTGCATATTATGAGACACCAATAGATTTAGTTACTCCATTCTCATCTGGTCCTTACCTGAGCAACTATTTCATCTAACCATGTAGCATGATGCTGTGGATTGGCCAGAAGCCACTTAATAGCAGCACCATAAACCTGCTTTTCACTTTCAATGCTCAGGTCACTGGAAGACAACAGTTTATGAAGGTGCTGAGGTGACACACTCACAAAATCTTCACATTCCACCACTTCAGCAAAATGTTCACATGCATAGCGATCGGCCATATCCATCAAGTCAATACGATTGTGGCTCTCCGCAAAGGATCTCACTGCCAGGCAATTTGAAGGATGGAAGTGTAGTTTCATGTATTCACAGCAAGCTTTGGCCACTACCTCTACCTGAAGAATGCAGGCCGCATATAAGAGAGGCTGGACATTGTCTACCGTCAGAGTCAGTCGAGATGAATAGACGAATTTGACCAAATCTTCTATGGCATCACCATCAAAGTCTTTGATCTCGATCAATGTCTGTTTAGCTTCCGCCATTTCAGAAAGGAACATGGCTCGGAAGTATGGAATAACACAAGCCAGGACTAGCTTGTGACAGGAGATCAACTTCGAACCTACCTGTGGGATAACATACATTTATATTAATAGAGTTAATTGTTCTACCTTAATACAAAGAAGCTGTGGTCTCGAATTCTAAAGATGTAGTTAACGGATTTTAAAAATTATTAGCATTAATCAAATCCAGAAGTGCAAAGAGGTATTGACCTCAGAACTATCAAGAAAATTGAATAAACAGAAAATTGACTAACAACACTACTCAGATCAATGACAATTTTCTGTATAGATTAGTATACATGTGTGGTACTGTTGTAAGAGTCATAACATTTTATTGAAAAGTCTCCATCAAGTATTTATATAAATTTGAAAGATAAATTATATTGATCACAGCATCACAACCTTATTTGTATTGATGAATATTTCAACAATGAATATGCAGTTCATATTCAGTTGTAAAACCTACTTTTTGCTTTAACTGCAAGAGAAAATCATTTTTCATTAGTCCCACTTTCAACTACCTTAATGATAAAGTTCCATCCCTGAATTATTTCTAGTAGTTTTATCCAGTCATCTCAATTAGCTGTTCTTTTAATAATCCACAGCCACAGCAATCTAATGCAGCCAAAACAGTTTCTTGCCAAGAAATGATGAAAAGCAATTAGCTGTACATGACTTTAGACAATGTGCTGCCATGAAAAAAGGACAGACATCACTATGCCGGGTCAATTTTGCTGCATTACAAAGGCTAGTGGATCTGTGTGTACAATTTGACCATGGAAAAGGCAATGCAACCACTTTGGTTATCTACCACTAGATTAGTAACAAATGACCAATATTCATACACAAACACTAAAGCAGGAGGAAGGGCAGGATATAAATGGAATAAAATAAATGTGCTATTTCAGCACAGAAATGAAAAAATGGGTTTGCACTGGATAGTCAACCCGGCTAAAAATATTTGTGCCTTATATGATTTTAAAGATTAACTATCAATTGATAATAAGGAGATGAGTCTAATGAAAGTTTACATGTTATGATCCAGCAGTCTTTAGGTTCCTTATTAAAGAAGCTAGCTTCCCCCACCCAACTGTTTTTCTTAAATCTGCAGGATGTGTTTTCAGGTACAAAAATCCTCTTGATAACATTTTCTATTAATCAGCTTTTTCTCTTCTGCAAAGATTAGTTTCACTGTCAAAAAGCATCAATTTGAGTTGTATGAACAAGCATTCTGGCTTACAAACTCTTATTTAAACAAGTCAGATTCAACCCACAATTCAATGGTAGCTTACTTTGAAACTTACCAGAGTTTGTTGTAACCTAGATTTCTGGTTTATTTGTTTCAAATAATAAGTGACACCTATCACCACATGTGCAAGAGGAGGGGGGAAGCGTGCAAGCTTGATAACAGCAGCAGTAGTTTTTAGTGTGAAAAGGATAAAAACCACAATATCTCTTTGCAAAACAAAGGAGAAGGCTTCTGACACAAAAGTCATACCTGATACGAGTTCAAACTTGCACTGAACTGAGCATGTATAGTGTTTTTTTAAAGAACAGTGGTATCTCAAGTTACAAACGCTTCAGGTTACAAACTCCGCTAACCCGGAAGTAGTACCTCGGGTTGAGAACTTTGCCCCTGGATGAGAATGGAAATTGCGTGACGCTGGCACGGTGGCAGCGGGAGGCGCCATTAGCGAAAGCGTGCCTCAGGTTAAGAATGGTTTCAGGTTAAAAACGGACCTCCAGAACGAATTAAGTTCATAACCCGAGGTACCACTGAACTAGGCAGTCCCTCAAAATTATTTACTTATTTATTTAAAATAATTTATAAACCACTTTGTTTAAAAATCTTTAAGCAACATACAAGAATACAAGATAAAAATGGTAAAACTGTATCATAAAAAGAGATACAACATAAAAAGCACTAAAACAGGAATGTGCTACAAGTCATCCTTTTGCCTAGGAGAAACTTTCTAAGCATCCGTGGTAACCAGGCAATATATAGCTGTGACCTTGATCTTTAACATTACAAGAGAACTGTGGGATGAACCCATGGAAGAGTAGCCTCCATGCCACTGCTACAATTGCCTGTAGGGCACCTAAGAGGACCTTTAAAGATGAAGAAAAGGACAAAATATGTAGTGAACCTAGGCTGCCTGAAACCCATTAACTAAGCAGCTGGGCTCTCAGGGCATTTTTGTGGATACTAGCAGTTGTAAACTGTTATATACTTTCTCAAAGCACTGCAGAAGTTGTATTCCTCTCCTTCCACAGACAAGCAAGAGCCTTGGTGCACTGCCACAGAAATGCAAAACAGTGCTAATGTACTCCCAATTCCAATACACCCATACCCACACTATTATAGGAGAAGGAAGAGGGGAGAGTAGCAACTTAGTCCACCTCAAGATTGTTATCCCCAGTATTAGGGCTTTTCCCACTAGAGGAGAATGGCAACTACTACTTACATGGTAGAAAGTGAAGAGGTGCACTTAGAAACCTGGAAACACCACTGGGATTGGCTAACCCACAGCTTACCCTTGGTGTTCAGCAACCTTCACTGAGCATCCTCTTATCTGATTGGACCTATCCTCGTAAGGAAGAGAATGTTAAGACCAGGCTTGCATATATGACATATCTAAACAAGATGGCAGCCATGTCACATAAGTTAAGTGGGTTTATATAGGTACTGTGGCCTCTTACAATAATAGGGGGAAAACTTTGAAATTTGAGTTCAAGTCCATAAATTTAGCACAATCACACTCTCCCTACAAGCACCAAATAGTCTGCTGACTTGCAGTATTTCAAGGAAGAGTTTTGGTTAAAGGGAAGGCAACACTGCATGGCACTAACTCCCAAATGTTGTCAACATAAATGATGCAAAGCAAATATATTTTCTAGTGAATTAATACACAAACGCACAAACCATTCTACACTCAAAACACATACACACAAAGGAGGAAATATGGAATCAGCACCTTCAGCGTAACATCACAAAGCTCCCCAGCTTCATAGAATCGGAGGAGAGAGCTGTGAAAATCCTTCCAAGCTTCATTTGCTTCAAATACAAATGTTTCTTCTTCACCATCACTGTTCAAAGGTGACCTCTCCTGTGGCTGCTGCCTTCTGCCTTTTACCACATGATGCTTTGCTTGCTCTGGGACCATAGAATCAGAAGCCATTAGCTGTTTTGTCTCCTTCCAGGTTTGTTCTCAGTCTCCATGAAAAAAAGCCCCACACATGCTGCCAAGCAAATCAGGAAGAACATCCAGTCTTGAGTAGAACTGCCATTTTCTCACTACAAGAACAAAATGAAAATAGATTAGGCGTTTTCCTCCGTCAAGCCCCTGGAAACACCATAGGTTGAAGTTTGCTGCTAACTATTATTCCGTCTCTTCAAAAGACCAAGGCAATAAAATCAAGAAGGCAACTTCTAAGTCACTATCAGGATGGGAACATAGGCTTGGATCTCAAGTTGCTCATCCATTCACGCTCATCCATCCCCCTACATCCATAATCTTCCATGCCTTCCCAAACTCCCCAACCTGCAAGAGAGGATTTTCTTGGGGCTGCAGAAGGAAAGAAAATGGTGGAAGTGGCAGTCTAGGAACATGGGCTCTATTGACTCATGGAAGGAAAGTTAGGATCCAAGCCACTGCTAGTACATTTCTACAATGAGTTAGAACCAAGCAACTGTGAGCAACAGGAGGAAAACAAGCCTAAATTTGCACAATGCTGTAATAGGAAAGGTTGATGGATTTAGTTTCACTTATATTGAGTTCTAGTATACAGTGCAAAAGATACAAATCTTCTGGAACAATATGGTGTGTAGTATAAAGGTTGGGTGGGCTGCAGCAGGAAGGAGAAATAGTAAAGTTGGGACACCCTCCAACTGCCTTTCTATTCATACAGGGAACCTTTGGGTCAAAGCCAAAGTAACAAACTACAGTTCTAAATATCACAAAATTCTTCTCGACATACTTAAGGCTGAAGGAAGTTCTGAGAGAGAGAGAGAGAGAGAGAGAGAGAGAGAGAGAGAGAGAGAGAGTATATATATATTGTTGTTGTTAGCCGCCCTGAGCCCGGCTTCGGCTGGGGAGGGCGGGATATAAATAAAATTTATTATTTATTATTATTATATAATCTGTTGGGTTTTTTATTGTTCAAATTGCTTAGCATCTAAGGAAGATTAAAGATACCTTCCTGTACACAACTGAACTATAACACTTGCAGATTAAAGTTTTATTATTCACTCATAACCTCTTAAATCAGGCCATTATTATTTAAGTTGCACCATTTACACCTGAGATATATAGTACCCACCCACTGTAATCCGCCCTGGGATTTCATGGTAAAGGTAGGGAAGAACTCCAAACAGTAATTATTATTAAACTAGTGTTGTTGTTGTTCCCATTTACAGTATAGATGGGAAACTGAAATGAAACAAGATTTGGCCATGACAGAGATTAAGCTTGAACTCTGTACTTCAAGTAAAACTCTTTGTGGCCATCACACAGGGTCCCCGGATGTTTGACGGTCTATTGATCCCTGTGCCACCACTATGATCACTTCCCCGCTGCCACCAACCAGTTTCTCTTGGGTACACACTGAGTCCAGACAGTTGTTAACATTAAAAACAAATAATCAAGTTTATTTTATAAGCATGAACAAGTTTATGGTTTCAGATAATGTTTCTTGTCAGTTTCTTATCCTTAGTTTCTATACCGGCCTATATCTTTCTAATAACTTCTAACTAATTATCCCAATTGTCTATCTGACTCCTCCTAACAGTTTCTCTCTCTCACACACAACAAAACTTGACCAACCCACAGACATATCCTCCCTTTTCCTTCTCCAACTACCAACTGACCTCCAAACAACTCCAACTCTAACTGCTCCCCTTGGGTTCCCACTGGCCAATCACTTCACACCCATTTAACCCTTTCCTTATGACCCAGCATGATGTCACCTAGGAGGGCAAACACCACACTCTTCTTCCATTGAATGGTCCTCCTTGGCTTCAAGGTTCAAATTGGTTAAAGTTCATATGGATCCATGCTATAAGACAGTAGTTTCCTGTGTTGTAGGGCATCCTGAACTTCTCTAACAAGAAATCTGTAGTGTAAATGCCCTTGGTAGTTTGCATCCTCCTACTGATCTTCCCAGCAATGGGTAGTAGCCAGGATGTATTATAGTATGTAATGATCAATTCATGCAAGACATGGTCAAACTCAAATGACATGGCAAGCGCTCCATATAAATCAAGTATGCACCTCAGAGCAAAGGCCAGAGTCATCTACAACATGGAAGAGTTTTGCAGCAGGAGTTCATCAGCACAAGTTGTTGAGGAAAGGATTCCCTGAAGGTGAAGTTTAAACACCACTGCTCTAAGTAGATAATGACTAAATTGCAGAGACAACCAGATACACACTTCCTTTGTCAGTCAGATTTTCAGATTGTATCCATCCAAGAGTTCTTAAACAACTCAAATGTGAAATTATTGATCTTCTAACAAAAAGATATAGTTTGTCCTCAAGATAAGCCTCTTTATCAAAGATCTAGAAACTGGCCAAACAGTGCCAAATTTTCTAAATGGGATCCAGGGAGAATATAGGAAATTATATGTGCACAAATTAAGCTGGCAGACAGCATTACTAAGTATAAAATAATCAAACATACAGAACAGGTTCTGCTGAAAAAGAATCAGTGTGACTTATATAAAGGCGAGTCCTGCCCAGTAGCGGAGGAAGCCTCTCCAGCACCGGGTGCGGGACGCCGAGGGGCGGGGCGAACTGCCCATAGGGGTGGGGTGAACCGCCCGATGGCACCCTCAGCCACCCTACAGCTGGGGGCAGAGAGGCAACAGGCCATTTTGTCACCCCCCCTGGGTGGTACCCAGGGCGGACAGCCCCAACTTTGTACACCCCTGGTCCTGTCTCACCAACCTTTTAAAAGCTTTTGACACAGTCCCCCACCAAGACTCATGAGCAAAGACAGCAGTAATGAGGTCTTCTTATGGACTGGTAACTGGCTAAAGAACAGGAAGAAGAGGGAAAGGAAGGGACAGTTCTTGCAATGTAGGGATGCAAGCTGTAAGCTCCCCATAAGGTTCTGTAGTGGGGTCAGTGCTTTTAACTTGTTCATAACTGATCTGGAATAAAATGCAGCATTTCTAGCCACCCCAACCCCTGAGGTCAAGAAGAATAGCCATACTTATTACACACATGTGTCTGCATGCCTGCATGTGTGTGCATAATCAGTTGCATGAGTGGAGAGCGCGTGTAGCGTGCATGGTGTAGCTAGCTTTGAAAAAATACCTGTGATTTGGTTGCAATGCAGCCTCAGGAACTACTTTGGGTTTTCCTGGCTAATCAATTTAAAATCAAAACTGTTTACTCAATTAAACAGTTGGGCTGATCTCATGCCTCAGAGCCTATAAATAAAATAAAATTACCCACTTTCCCATAATTTATTTTTTAAAAAAATATTTTATTTTTACTTACATATACAAAGAGCAACAATCAACATTCAACAATCCCCTCTCTGCAGAAGCACCAAACGCCTACTTAATTGCATTACACTTTTTATTCATTTTAGGTATCATTTGAAAAAATATGATTATATATTTTTGATGGGTGATCTAAACATACTTTATTTCCCTTCAAGCAAACAGTGCAATACATCAAAACCTCTAACATGCACACTTTTTGCGTAGCACCTCACCCACCCTGACATACAAACCAGCAGATTACCTGAAATGAAGTTTCAAAGCCACCAACGTCCTATAACCTAGATACTCTCTGTTCTGAAAGCAGCAGAACACTTAGGGCAACTTTTCAGTGCCAACATGCCACTTCTCATGCAATCTGATCTCTCAACATTATACTAATGATCTTCAACCTCTTGAAATTTCTCCAATATTCTGCAGGACCAAACCGAAACAATGGAGCACTTCAAGCCCCCATTCAACAATGCTGCAATGTTCCATTCACTTCACAAACTAAATGCAAGTCCTTCTCTTTGCTGCCTAAAAATGGGCATTTTTTCCACTGCTAAACAAGGAAATGAATTACCAGATACCAACTGTCTGTAGTCTCTTAGTCTGACAGTACTGAATACAAACACTATAACTAATTCTAATGAGTACAGTGGCATTTGTTTACCAAGTTCATGGGTATTGTGAGAAAGTTCACATGGATGGCAACTGGGTGTAAACTGACATATACCCAGGGTTAAGAAATTGTCTGTTATAACAAACGTGGCATAAACATAGCCTTTACTCATTTCAATGGCAAATGTTTGTGTGACAAATCGTGCCATTCTACAGCCACATGTTTTTTAAAAGACGCTTTATCAATATCAATACTTTTATCTGAGGAACTTTCAGAAAAGTTATTATGTTTAGTAGATGCTTATATTGCTCCAACAACATACAGTACATGGAGCTTCACAGAGTGAAACTTACAGCTGACACAAAAAGCTTAGAATAAAAAATTACAATGGTGAGCCCCGCCAACATTCACGGTACGTGTGATGACTATATGTACAGCCTTAAAAAGGAAACAATGTTATAGACACAGCCTGTCTTTAACATATTTGCTTCATCCCCAATTTATTACATACATGGCCAACTTCGGAGAGAGAGGAATGTAGCATGACAGAATAACAGGAGGGTCCACAGGCCCAGTTACAGCATTAAATCTTATCTGCCGTTTTCCCTGTCTCTCCTGCTCTGCACTACTGCCGTTTGGTCCTTAGTTCTGCAGACCAAATACTACAGCAAGGCCACGATACATCAGTGCATGGGAGAGGGAAAGAGACTGGATGCACATTTACTGCAGCATAGACAATGTGCAATTGAATGACACACTTTCACACTGTGGACTTCAGGTGCACTTCCCAAAGAGGCTGTATATTATTCAATATATTTATGTCAGGCTTTTACAAGAAGGCTGCCCAAGGCAGCTTGCAATTAAAACATTAATTGACAAGACAAATCACCCCCCCCAAAAAAGCTTGGCAGTTCCACTTAAAGGCCATAAGCAGGGGGAGGCCAAGTTGAGTTCTCACAGGAGGAAATTCCACAAGTGAAAAATCGGTGTTCTTGCTTTCCACCAACAGGATCAACCTTACCACGCCTCCAAGGCCAATCTTAAAAGATCTGACCAGTTGAGTCTGGGCAGTCTTTCAAATAAACTGTTCCCAAACCATTCAGGGTTTTAAGAGTTAGTATCAGCACTTTAAAATGAGCATGGAAACAAATGCATAACCTGATGCAAATTGGTGCAATATGATCAAACTGGTCAGTTTTCAGTGCTGTATGGAAAACAGAAGTAAATTCTCTAAATGAGGAACTAAATGAAGATCTGCTTTCAACATGGAAAACTACATAAAAACATTTCATGGTTATAGTCATAGCCCAGAGCATTGTGATTAATGGCACTGATGCTATGCACCTGGAAATCTGGAAGTCTTGCTTAGGTATGAAAATTGATGCTTAAACTGTAGTATTCACTGCATATAAAGTCATCATAAGGGCATTAGACTCAATCTCAGGGGCCAGGGCTTTGAGTCCCACATTGGCCAAGATTTCTGCACTGCAGGGGGTTGCACTAAATGACCCTCCAACTCTACAACTCTATTATTCTATTCAAGTGAAATGTAATGTAATGTAATGGAAGCAGCAATGACACAAGACAAAAAGCAACTGGGATTATAATAACACAACAATATGCAAGAGCTTAAATGCCACCAGCTCAACTCTTTCTACATTGTATCCAAAAATATAGAGAGCCCATCAATGGAATGTGTGATGTTTCTGACCCAAATAACCACTGTATTTTACAGAATTCACTAACCAGGAAGCACACCATCAATCTGCAAAGGAAATAAACCTGAGTAGCACCAGGAAACATTAGCTGAAAGAAAATTAGTAAAATGTTCAAATTATATGTGTCTACAGTGCTGTGTAATTTCCCCTCCTCTTTATATATTTCCTCCATTTATCTTTCATGCTCTAAAATTGAGACTCGTAAATGAGCACTTCACATTTAAACCTAGTTCTTGATTTTTTCATTTCCTTCCCCCTCACATATCTGCTCTGCCCTTCACCAGTTTCACGCATTTCTACATTATTCCTTCTGCTCTATTTCACTGGGACGACAAGGGAAAAGAGAACCAGCTTTTATCCTAACAACCAAGGAACACCCCCTCAGCTCAGCAAAAGCAAAATCAATTGCATTCCGCCAACTCCATCATCATCATCACCAACAGCAGCAGCAGCATCACCTCTCGCACCCAAGGAAAACCACGTGCAAAAAACAACACCCACCCACCCCAGGTTTAGCACCCTGACGACCCCTTCCTTCCCAAGGAGCGGTGCCCCTGCCTTAAAAACAACCCTCCCTCCTCCCCATCTATAACTTGGACCAGCCCAAAGGACTGCTTTACCCCACCAGGACTAAAACCAGAAACGCATAAATGAATGGTTGCGAGTTGCTGTTGTTGTTTTTTTTAAATGGGGCATTTCTTCTGAGCATGCACAGAGTGCTCCTGATGAGCAACCCTCAAATATACAGGACTGAGGGAGCACGCCTTGCTGTAGCCCACCTTCCACAGCCCCCTTCTGCCTCTCTCCTTCCTCGGCTCCAGCCTCCTTACCACGCCAATTCCCTGCCTCCCTCCTTGGCGCAGCCAGGGCAGTTGCACCTCAGCAGCCGTTACCTCCGGCGCGCGCTCCCTACCTTCCGCGCGCGCAGCCCAAAACATACACAAATACACACACACACACACTCTCAGGCATATATGCACGGAGGACGCGGCCAACAGCGCATGCGCCCAGCCCGGATCCGACGGAGACGTATCTGGAGAGAGGGAGGGGGGAGGCGTGTCAAGGAAGCGCACCGAGCCGGGTGAGAGGAGGAGGAGCGAGGAGATGGGGACCGCGCGCATGGGCTCTGGGCTCGAGCCCAAACCCGTGGGCTGCGCGCGCACGCTCTCCTTATGGCCGTTAACGGCTGTTCAATTACCAAACACGGCCCCCCCCCACCCCGGCCTCCTGGAAAGAGAGAGTCGCCCGCCGCCCGCCTGAGGGGAGGGGGGAAATACTGTTTTTCTGCGCATGCGTCGAGTATGTACGCCTCACTAGCTCAAAACGCAGCGAGGTTGTTCGTCTTTGTATGTCGCTTCCTCTGCTGCGTTTTAAGTGAGTCCACTGAATTCAGTGGGATTTACAGCTTTAAATTTTTCACGCTTAACCGGGTGGATGGGATGCACGACCCCCCCCCCGCCCCATGTCAGACGTTTGAAACGTTTCCTCTGTTGCCACACATTTTGATTTAAATCGAGAGTGAATCGGCTTGGGCAAAGGGAAAACACATCAAAACTCCAGCGTTTCATAATAAAATAAGAGATTGTTGCATTTATATCCCACCTTTTCTCCTCCCAAGCAGTTCAAGGTGGTGCACGTGGTATAATCACCATCCTCACAAAAACCATGCTTTTTTTCCTCCTCCCTCTCACTGACTTTCCTTTTCGTGTTGTGTCTTTTTGATGGTAAACGTGATAGCAGGGATTGTCATTCTACTATATTTGCAACCTGCTCTTGGAGAGCCTTTCTTCAGCTCCAAATAATAGCCTGCTCCCTGCTCCAAATAATAGCATTTAATTGTCATGAGTGTCAGTACTTTATAGTCATATTTTCAGTATTAGGGGCTGTGGTGATGAGGGATGACCACCTAGATGCAGATATCTACTTTGCCTACCCCTTTCCCTCTCTTATGGTGCTGAGTTCCAGATTTTAGAATTCCTACCTTAATGGGATTACGAGTTTTTGAAAAGAGTTAAGCACTCTTTTACCAAAGAACCACATCCCCAGTTCCCAAGGCAGCTCTGCGGGCCTTCTAATTAGCGCACTAAAAATAGGAGGGATGGTCTGGTTTATCCAGTTTCTTATGCCTGTGTCTGCAGACAACTTGGAATCTTTGTTGAGCTGTTTGGACCAAACTGGGGAAGTGTGTGTGTGGAAATATGATCCTCTTCAGTCACATACACTCTTGTCAATCTGTGCAGACACCAGTGGCCTAGGGCAGTGTTTCCCAACCTTTTTTGGGCAAAGGCACACTTGTTTGATGAAAAAAATCTCGAGGCACACCACCATTACAGCCCCGTGACGTCAGCGCGCAGCGTCACTTGAGCTCCTTCTCCTGCTCGTTCAGGGCCGCAGTGGCGTAGCGTGGGTTGTCAGCACCCGGGGCAATGCAAGTAATTTGCACCCCCTAACCCGTGGATTTGCGCCCCCTAACACTAACCCCCAGATGTTGTGCCCGGTGTGGCCAGCCCCCCCTGCACCCCCCACGCTAGGCCACTGATCCATAGCTAAAAGCAGAAGTCGACAAATGTGTCCTGTTTTTTGCTCTTCAAAATATGGCAACCCGAAGACCCCCAGGGACCGTCCAACCAGCCTAGGAAGTGTGCTCTGGTCGCGGGGGAGGAGACACGAGGCATTGCCATCCACACCTGGAATTGAGGAGGAGCTGGAAAGGTCCTTTGGTTTCACACCCAGGACCCATTTTTTCTCTCTTCTTTTGAGAAAGGGGTGGGAAACGGGATTTGGAGGGCGCATGTGTGCGCGTAGCTGAGCTCCAGTTGCTCTGGGCATTTCTGGACGGCGCCGGTAGCGTCTCTCCTAACCCCTCCCCACCCCGGTCTCCAGCCCCCCCCCCCGCCCAAAGGCTTCCCCCTACCTGGCCAAAGTTCCACCCGAAGCTGGAGATGCGGTTCGCGCTGCCCACGAAGAGGACGCCGAACTCGGAGAGGACGTATTCCTTGCGCTCAGCGCAGCGGCGCAGCTAGCCGCTCAGGGGCCCGGGGCAGCGCGCGCGTCCTGCAGCCAGGGGCGAGTGCCATGGGGGCGAGCCATGGCAGGGCGCGCTGCGTGGAGCCTCGCTGCAGCCTCCCCCTCAGCTGTAGGGAGGCTGAGGCGGTGGGCAGAGGCCAGAGCGGAGCTTGCGGGCAGTTCGCCCGCAGACGCATGGCTCAGGCACGCTGCAGGCGCCGAGGTGTGGCGCCCAGTGCCCCCCGCCTCGCCTAGCTACCAGTGGCATAGGAAGGGGTCTGCGGTGGGTGCGGGGCTGAAAGGACAGACAAGGCTCCAGCAACCACCCCCACCGCCAAGTCCGCCGGTCCTGCAATCCCTTGCACGCTGACTTGGAAGTACAGTGGTACCTCGGGTTACATACGCTTCAGGTTACAGACTCCGCTAACCCAGAAATAGTACCTCGGGAGGGGCAGAGAGCTGCGAGTGCGCCCCCCGCAGATGTTGCGCCCGGTGCGGCCGGCCCCCCTGCACCCCCCACGCTACGCCACTGCAGGGCCGGGTCGCCGCCGTGAGGGAAGGGCGCCGGGGCGCTGCTGCTGCTGCTGCTGCTGCCGCCGCCGCTCCCGGCAGGCATGGGCCCAGCTGAGGCGGCGGCTATTGTGGTGGTGGCGGCGATAGCGGGCGGAGGAGGGGGCGGCGGCGGGGCCGAGGTGGCCGGCGGCGGCGGGGGAGGCGGCGGCGGGTGGAGCAGGAGGGCGGCCGAGGCCGGTGAGGGAGTAGGGTTGCCCGGGGCTTGAGGAGCCGTCGCCGGGAGTTGCTGCTGCTGTTGTTGCTGCTGCTGCCCGGACATGCCGGCCTCCTCCTCGTCCGCTGTCTCGCGCTCCTCCCTTTTGCGTGCGCTGCCCCGCCGCCGCCCCATTGGCCGGGTCCTGTCAGCTGATCCTGTGTTATTTCCTGTGTGTGTGTGTGTGAGGGGAGAATGGAGAGAGAAACCTCGGCACCACCACCGCGGAGCCGCCCCCGGCTTGACGCGGATCCTCGCCGCCGCCGCCCCGCCTCTCGCCGCCCGACTCGCCCGCCTCCCTCCCACGGCACACCAGGCAATCTCTCGCGGCACACTAGTGTGCCACGGAACACCGGTTGGGAAACACTGGCCTAGGGTGAAAAGCAGGCACTCTGAGCATTGAGCAAATGCAAGGCAGATGCATGTTGTAAGATGGTTTTGTCAGGTTGTATCTCCATTCAAATATCACCTAAATCACCATAGCTGTGATACGATATTATAGGTAGCTTCTACAGCTTCTTGAGACAGGCTTATACAGCCATCTAACTAGGCCACCAGGGGTTTGGTAACCTATTGTTTTTGCTAGTTTCTTGGGTCACCATACATCAGAACCAAAAGAGCCCTGCTCATTCCAGCCAGGCCAGCATCCTCTTTACCACAGTGACCAGCATCTTTTTCAACCCATGGACCACTTTCCATTCCTGAGCAACCTTCTGATGGCCACATGGTAGATGGCGTCAGAGGCAAAAGTGAGAAGAGCAACAAATGCATATTTTACTTGCACACACATTTCTGTCCTCCATCCAGACAAATGAGAGGCTTTATCTCAAGGACACTTTCCAGCCAGGGGCATACTTAGGGGTTGGGCAGGTTGGTGTCCTCTAAGGGTGCAGGCTCAGAGGGGCGCAAAAATTGCTCCACTCTTCCTCAAAGTGGCCAGGAGCCAGCCCGACAGTATTGCAGCAACCTTACAGGGCCCTCTCCCCCAGTCAGCCAGCAGCCCATGGTCTCTCCTGGCTTTGGAGGCCCAGATACATCTC